ATTTTTCACAAAATATTTCAGAAAAAATAGAGTTACTCTATAATTTAATCGAGATATAAAGTATAATCGTTCACTCTTTTAAAAAGGTGTTAAGTGTTATTTAACCTCACTCATGTGTCTGACATTAAAACTTCTAAATACGGCATTAGAAACTTTAATTGACTTCAAAAGCTGTTTGACTCTCGTTAATTTGATTTATCAGTGAAAGAGGAAATAAGACAACGAAAGGCATAACTTTTGTTGTGTGAAAATGAGATTTAAAATTATTATTTTTCACCCCCCCCCCCCAGGAATTTTCGGACGCTGATGATGATGTTATCTTGACACTGCCAAATTTACGACAAACCACAGCATCCATTTCATGTGACCAGGGTCGGTTATTATCTTTATTAATATTATTATCTTTCTATAGGGAATTTTTGTGTGTGTTAATGTATGATTTGGGGGGTGCTTAGACTGTAGAGATTTGAATAAAACATTTAAAAATTAACTGCATGTTGAATGTCCTTTATGACTGGTATAATTCTTGTCTGGTATGATTTTTTGGTGCTAACAAAATCCATGCTTAAAGATTTTAAAACAGCTATTCTAAAATTCATTAGCTTGGGCAACCACAGCAAAAAAGAAAACGTTTGGTGTGCAAAGAGAATAAAGAACTTTTTTTTTTGTTGCTGGCATTCGTCCGTCACAATGTGACGATGGTGTGGAATTCACAGGACTAAATCCAAAAAACCTGGGATTATTCTTCTAGGATTATAAGCTGGTTCCCAACAGCAAATCGCCTCTCTCCACGCAGCTGGATAACCAGAACATCATGTGGATGACACAACTTGGCACCAGTGTCGTCGCAGGAGTTGTCGGAATGTTTCAATAATGGAATGTTCTTCCATTGACAGTAGAACCCTCTCAATCCCAAGAACTAAAACTAAGACCATCGGTGAACGCTCCTTCTGCTTCCATGGGCCCCGTTCTGGAACCAGCTCCCCTTCCATATACGTCATAGTGAAACCTCGTCCATTTTCAAAAAGTCCCTTAAAACTCATCTGTTTAGGTCCGCCTATGACCTGTGATGCACCCTCCTTGCCCTACCTAATTTTCTGTTTCGGTTTAATCCTGAAGTGTCAAAGTGTCCTCTTTTTATAGCCATTTTCATTGTTTCTATAGAATAGTAGTTACTATCCTAGTGTCTCATTTGTATTTACTTAGTTTACATGTTTTAATAACTGTAAAGCGCTTAGAGCTTTATGATAAGCGCTATATAAAAATGCCTAAATAAATAAATAAATAAATGTTTCATTGTACCAATGTTACCGGTCTACAGGACTCCATCTCCGGGTTTGATTTAGGGTTTCCTTCTCTTAGATGAGTTTCAAACCAAGGTTAACGAGTCCCATCCACCCGGGGTGCTGGTGATGATTTTGCTTGACTGGGCATTGGTGGGGATTGATCTCCAGACCATCAACTTGAGATTTGCTCAGTTTAGACCACTGGGCCAAGAACTTTAGGCCCTTCCTAACTTAATATGAAAACATTGGTAAATTTTATGTGATTTATTTATATTTTTTCAAAAAGAATCTTTATTTATTGCTTCAATATTAATTTTCAAAAATTGTTATTTTAACATGTACCGTGATTATATTTCAGCTTCTCTCAAACTCAGCACTGGAAATCCTTCATTTTCAACTGGACTGAATCAGTGTAAAGGAACTAATGCTGCACCGAATGTTGGCTATGGAAGTTTTAGATCACCCATTGAGAAAGCTGCAGAGCCACAAAGGACAAATTCCTCAAACCAAACTGGCAGCTACAGCAGAAATTCAGGCTGGCAACTCCCTGCTGTCTCGGATACAACAAACAGTGATTTTTATCCTGGCAGTGTAAGGAAATAATTAATTGCATGTAGAATGGTTTGACAGTTAGGAGGCGGTATTGTTTGTTATACATTGTAGAGAAAGAAATATTCTCATCTTTAACTATTAATATATGTGGCAGTGTATGCCCCGTTAGCCCGTTATTTTGAGACAACCGTTATTAGTACAACCATGTTTGGCGCCCAACGGTGTGACCTCGCCTAGCACTGGATCGGAATGTTGAACTCAGGTATCCCTTTCACCCCACCCGGCGGTCTCTATACGGCCGGCTTCTCCTGCCCATAGGGGGGAAATAATAGAATACCACGATGTGCGCTTTAGTTAGAAAATCAATAATTTATTTCTCGGGAACCCTAGCGTATTAAGTTATAAATTATATCTAGTTAGAAAGGGGATTTTATTCACTATACCTTAGCATATTTACAAGTTTCCATCGTTGGAGAATATTTTAACATTTAGTCATTAAAGGAGTTTTCGCCTTCATTTATAGTGGTCCCCACCCCTTCTAGTTAAAATATCTCAAGAACTATTTAACTAATAAAAATATAAAATAGTATCTTAGATAGCTGAGATAAAACTGCACAGATCACATATAAGTCGTTAGGGCTTTGGTCAGAGATTTTAATTATTACTCGGGATTAGTCCCCAG